CATATGGTGCGATTTTGTTAAAACTTGCGACTAATAAGCTCCCAATTATGCGAATAATTTCAAAACAAAATAAAAGATTTTTCATGTGAGTCAATGTTAGATTATTTATTGCAAGCAAGAAATTGAGATAAATTATTTCGATTGCTCATTTATGTTTAATTTGAGCCACATTGTTATCGGTCTCATTGACTTTGGCAAAAGGTTATTTTTTGAGCTCGAATGTTATTCTTTTAACGTGCTGAGACCACAAGAATTTTTTATCGTTATATTTATTACGTCCGAAATGAAACTAATAAAGAAAAATATAAAAACTCCATTTTAGTGCCTAAAGTTCTCCGTATGAAATGAAAAAATAAAATTTTGATGCAATTTGAATCAATTAAATGATGATGAAAAATCAAATAAAGCCTGTATTGCATAAAGGTTGCACAAGTGAATTAAGTGCATTTAATAAATGGGTCTAAATTATTAGAAACTCACATTTATTTACTATTTTTCATTTTGGTATAATTAATCTAGAAGAATATAATAAAAATTGATTCAAAAATTAAATTAGCAATTGATGTGTACATAACTCAATTAACGTTGTACATTTCTACAAAAATTAAAGTTATAAATGACTTGAAGTATATAGTTAGTTCATTGTCCAACTATAAAACTATAATTCGACGGACGGCCTTAAGAATATTTGGGAAAAGTTATTCTAAAGAATCTTTACTTATTTTAACAAGCTGAAAAATGAAGTTTACGCGCGCGGGTGCTCATTGTACATGACGCCAGAATTGCATCTGCCGATGAGATAATATAAAAAAACACGACAATATCTCCTAGAATAAGTCTCTTCGAATTAAGTGAGACTGATTGTGCTCACAAGTACATGTTTGCCGCTGCACTGCCAAAAATTATTTCTCAAGGATTAAGACTTGACGAAAAAATTTCGTCTCAAAATTAAATATCGGAGTAAAGTCGGTCTTAGTTAGATAAAAATTGAAAAAGAAGTAATTAAAAACACACCAGAAATATCGTGTCACATTCGACATCAAAAAGGATTAAAGTGCATTTGCTTGTTACGAAGAACCATTAGAAACAATGCATGTTCTTGCTTGCAATTGAAATTTGTATCCACCAGAAGTTAAGTTAGCTGTAATAAGTTATAAAGTAATGCTTTTAAAACGGTCGGTAAAGTCTGGTCTCAAATGGTTTCTTATTCCTGAGAGTGTGGCTAAACTGAATATTGCACGGGGGCGTTAGCGACGGCTTTAGAAAAGTTAAGGAGTCTAGCGGCCGAATGAAACCATTGCTTGCCGCGGGCATAAACAAATAAGTCAAGATCTATAAATGGAGATCGAATTTCCGAAGCCTTCATCCAATTCTCCAAATGAAGGCTCGTGTATTTCGCTGATGGCTGCGTGAGCATTAAAGACGTCGGTGCTGCAACGACGCCTGGGAATGCTAAACATACCAAGGATAGTGAGAAAAGACAATAAGGATAGTGAGAAAACATACCAAGGATAGTGAGAAAAGACAATAAGGATAGTGAGGAAACATACCAAGGATAGTGAGAAAAGACAATAAGGATAGTGAGAAAACATACCAAGGATAGTGAGAAAAGACAATAAGGATAAAGCCATTGCGGTGCAGTTCGCGATCGTGGCTGGGTGGAATTCGACGAGACAATTGCAATTCGACTGAATAATTTACTTCAGGTGCAAACTAAGAATTCTTCTAGATCATTATAGGATATTTTGACAAGCGAAACATTTCTTGATTCAGAATTCGTCGCACGCGAACCATAACTGTGAGTGAAACTCACTATCGCACTTATCAAGTGTGCGGAGAAAATTCGCCGCTTTACTGTGCATTTATGAATGCCTTGAAATGAATCTTCAAATTACGACTGAAAGCGTCCGCAATTTGTTTTACATTGTCTTCACTTTTCGTTACTTGATGTTTACTAGTCCTTTTCACTATATACTGTAGATTGTGATCGAGTCGGTGGTAATGGCAGTGAATCGATTGTTTGAGTGCTTTTCTTTGGTGAAAATTTCCTTTCAATTTTCTATGTTGAAAAAGAAAGTTATTGCAACTGAGATGAATGTATTTGATTCATTTACATTCGTTCCACAGACTAAAGTAATGCTTGCACTGTTTGAAAAACGGCCAAATCTTACAAAGCGACAAGATTCTCAAGTAATGTTATGATAAGAATTATGCATATTCATTCATGTTAATAATTGCGCGTATTCATTTATAAATTGTAATTCGAAATTATTTTTAGTCCGTTTGGTGAACACTGACTTGATGCAGAATGCGAAAACTTGGAATTGGTTAAGCACAGAAACTTCGAACCTTCAATCTGGATGTCCAATGAAAATAATAATTCAGAGAAAAAGTGGTTACAAGTGTACATTGAATATATGAGATTTTCGTACTCTGGATACTGGATTTCATTTAACAACCATCGTATAGCTGAGCCATGAGTGTAAGCCGATCTTCATGTAATCGGCACTCATTTGCTGTTATCGGGAAAACTGAAGCTCATGTCATTATTCTAAAGAATTTAGTGTGCCGAGATTTTTCGGCGACGATGAAACTTGCTTGGTTTGCAGCAGCGTAGCGAACAAAATTTTTTTCATAAAAAGCTCTCACAAACTGAACCTGTCTGGCAACAGCTAATAATTTAATTAAAATTTAGACTTTCATCATCAAATTTAGACTTCCAATGGAAACGGTGGAATTAGTCATTTAATGTAACCAGTATTTTAATCTTCACAATTTGTAGTGTAAAGTATAGTAATGTCGGAGTTGAATAGGCTAAGTTTCGCTTGTCGTCGGTTGTTGTAATGTACTTGCCTTGTTTTCTGGAGAAATGTGGTACAGCATTAGTTTCTGGAAATTTGGAGAAGCCGATGCATAGGTGAAAAAAATGAAAATTAAATTTAGTTGCAAAATTAAAAAAAAATAACTAACTCGAATTTACTTAATAAAAAAGTACGTGACGCTAGACGCTCAGTTTATGATGAGCGTACACTTGCTCTACAGAAGTGCGAAAAGAGAACTACGATTGCAGATCGTCTCAATTTTAATGATCAAAAAAGTACGACATCGAGCTTTAAAATGCGTAAAAGAGTCGAAATCAACACCTCTGTCACCTGTTCCGTTGCAACAGCCTATATTTCTTGCATTCTTAACTGTATTGGTAGGTTAAGTTTGCACAAATTTATCCACGCTTAGGAAAAAGATCTCATAGCTTCTCTTTATGCAAGTGACGCCGCACATTAAACGCGCCTAAGAGCGCTGCAAAAAATGTTCCAAACTTTTCAGATGAGGAAAGAGCACCGCAGGCGAATATTATGGACAGGTGGCTTTCTGGTACTAAAGTTCATATGAAAAAAATTAGGCTGAAAGATTTTCTCGGCCCTGCAAATGTGTTCGAGGTAGCGCAGCTTGTTGAACAACCGCATATTGTCGTTAAGAATGGCTTCATGGTGCTTGTTTCTCAGTAATTTATTATTGAGCATGCAAGCAATCAGCGAGTGAATATTCAAATTCGTTGTCTTGCAAGTGAAGGAACTTGAGAAGCGAACTGTAACTGCAAGCGGCAGTAAGCAGACTTCAGAAGACCGAAGGAGACGAGCGGGAGCATTTTTATGCATCTCGTAATGACGTACGCAGTCGTTCTGTGCACATTCACGGCAGCTCTAAAACTTCTAATGATGCAACCGGCAGTCGACACTACGGCGCCTTCATCTCAGGTGTATTCCTTCAACATCGTGAGTTGAGAGAGCGAGACTCGCGAACATCAGCTATACGTGGGTGTTCTAGTGTCTGAGTTATTGTAATTTGTGTTCTAAAATGCACTAAAATATAAACCCATACGTATCAAACAAAAAACTTCCAAGTTCTAGCCAAATGAGCCTCGTCGGATTGCATAGGTACAATTTTACGACTGCAATAGGTAATCATAGTCGGAACGATTATAACGCTGTAAAATTATTCAGTCCGACACGAGTTGAACATTTACCCCCAAAAATGTCAATTTTGTATGTTTTTTAATGCCCATCACGCTGCGACAAACAGCATGGGCGAGGCATCGATCCTACCTAGAACTTCGATAGGATACACAATTAATGCATGTAGGCTTTGTGGAGCCAACCACGAATGTGATTTTCACTTTGCTAGTTGCAATTAATCGATATATGTGCGATTTGCTCTTATACACAAATTTGAAGTAGGCAGGGGTAATTCTTATTCAAGAGCAATATCAGCCTTACTATACTCAATCTGATGGAATAAATTTAATGTCGTGTTCACTTTTTGATCACATTGACGCACGACGTCAATCTTGAGTTAATAAATGATGTTAAAATAAGTGGTAGTGGACCGAGAAAGTTTAACTATCAACCCAAATCTGATCACATTTTATACTAGGAACTTTACTTCAAAACGAAAACTACGCGTGAAATCAATATCCCAGATTAATTAGCTCTGCTCATTTTAAAAATTTATTTCCGCAAACGGCGTAGAAAGTTATCGTGACTAAGAAGCCCAACATTACGGATTTATACCCCGACCAGTCCGCTGTTTATACCCCGGCATGAGCAGTCAAACCGCCTAAACACCAAGCCTACTTGGCATCCATTTAAGAAAATTCAGCAAGCGAGGTCTAATCCCGGCAGGTGGCTACACCTGTTAAGCTACTCTCTGCAGATGGTTTTTCAGACTGTCACGGCAAACCAGCCTCAAAACGGGACAAGAATTAAAATCAAGAGAAACGTAGTAACGCCACCAAAATTCACCCCATTCACGGGAAAAGAAAATTCAGCGTATATTGTTTCGCCACCATCTCCGGTTTATACATGAAAAAAAAAACTCGAGTAAATCCAGCCTATTGAATTATACTCATCGTGCGGCAAACCGCGACGTTCGAAGTGACACGTTCCAAGGTGATAGGTAATGCTATAAGGATAGACTCCAGCGGAGGAAAATAATGCTTCAAGTCCCAGTTTAATACATTTCATGTCATACAACACATCAACGACCTAGTCTTTGAACAAAGACTCCACCGAGTATCTGGAAGTGTGTTTCTGGCGCATTTTCTTCTTGATGGCTTCAGCGTCGCCATACTGCGGCTTCAGCAGCTTCCTGGGTGGGATGTACTTGGCGAACGCTTTCGTCCAGCTCCCTGCACGGCGGAGGGAGTAGTGTAATAATAGTACAGTGCTTAGTATGTACTTAATTTGTGAATAATATATACATTTATTTTTTTCTATAATAATAACCTTCCTGCATATTATCTGACAATATAAACATTAAAGTAACTGATCGATAAACCATAAGACTTCAAGTTTTACTGACAACAAAGAAATATAATTCCATGACACGTAACATATAACTAGGCAATATAGACAGCGATTGTCTATATTGCCAGCGATTGTCTATATATATTGCACTCAAATTTACCGCAATTTAATTTAAATAATTACTTGATTTCTACCTGAGAGCTGCTTTTTTAATTTATTTATTTAGCGTGATAAGGAGTGATGTGTAGAGCAACGCGACGTGTTGCTGCGCTAATTATAACAAAAGGAAAATGGGCTGGGATTAGCATGATGCTGGGGTTAGCGTGATGCTGGGATAAGCATGATGCTGGGATAAGCGTGATGCTGGGATTAGCATGATGCTGGGGTTATGAGTCGGTGTAGGCCACCATCAGAGGCGTTAAGGTCGGGGCCCTGATCATTGACATGAAACCATTCCCTGTATTTAATTAATAAAATTAATAAATCCTTTTTGTTGGAATGGTGAGTGTGGGAGGCCTTTAAAAAAAATTCGCAGATAATACCCCGGCATGAGCAGTCAAACCGCCTCCACACGAAGCCTACTTGGCTTCCACTTAAGAAAATTCTGGAAGCGAAGGCAACACCTGTTAAGCTACTCTGCAGATGGTTCTTTAGACTGTCACGGCAAACCAGTCTCAAGACGGGGCAAGAATTAAAATCAAGAGAAGCGTAATAACGCCACCAAAATTCACCCCTTTCACGGGGAAAGAGCATTCAGCGTATATTGTTTCGCCACCATCTCTGGTTTATACATGAAAAAAAAACTCCTAGTAAATCCAGCCTATTGAATTATACTAATCGTGAGGATTAGCGTAATGCTGAGATTAGCGTGATGCTGTGATTAGCGTGATGCTGGGATTAGCGTGATGCTGGGATTAGCGTGATGCTGGGATTAGCATGATGCTGGGATTAGCATGATGCTGGGATTAGCATGATGCTGGGGTTAGCGTGATGCTGGGATAAGCGTGATGCTGGGATTAGCATGATGCTGGGGTTAGCGTGATGCTGGGATAAGAGTGATGCTGGGATAAGCGTGATGCTGGGTCTAGCGTGATGCTGGGATAAGCGTGACGCTGGGATTAGCGTGATGCTTGGATTAGCGTGATGCTGGAATTAGCGTGATGCAGGGATTGGCGTGATGCTGAGATTAGCGTGACGCAGGCTCACCGTGCTGCTTCGCCTCCAGCAGGATGCCAAAGATTTGGTTGAGCGTGAGACTCTTCCTGCCGGTGCCCCAGTCCAGGTACCTGTACCAAGAGACACGTGGTGCCATGATTATGTATTGTTAACCTGTCTCTTATACACATCTAGATGTGTATAAGAGACAGAACGTGCTGCACGCAATTTTGTTGTTACTCACAGAGTTCACTAAACAAACGAATCATTTTCATTGTTGGTGANACCGTACCAAGAGACGTGTTGCCATGATTATGTATTGTTAACTTAACCGTACCAAGAGACGTGTTGCCATGATTATGTATTGTTAACTTTCCCGTACCAAGAGACGTGTTGCCATGATTATGTATCGTTAACTTAACCGTATCAAGAGACGTGTTGCCATGATTATGTATTGTTAACTTTCCCGTACCAAAAGACGTGTTGCCGTGATTATGTATTGTTAAATTAACCGTAACAAGAGGCGTGTTCTCATGATGTTTCGTTAACCTTCCCTGTACCAAGAGGCGTGTTGTCATGATGATGTTCAAGAGACGTGTTACAGAGATGGTGCATTGTTATTTCACTCGCACTTCAAGTCCATAGACGTACCTCGGTGATTAGCAGGTGCAGCGATTGGTGTGTATTGTCGATTATTTTCTTCAGCAGACGGAAAATTACCAAGCATTTTGATCAGAAGATGAAAATACTGTCGTATTTGGGTCTACTGTTCATTAAACAAAATATTAAGAATCCACAATATTTTCATGGCGAAAAATTGAATCTATATGTAATTTATATAGCAGAGGAAGGTAATGTAAATTAGTCGAAACTGTGGTACAGAAGACGAAGCTTCTGTTTAAAGAATTGTTGAATGGACAAGTCTATCGTTAACTAGGCCCGCCTATATTTGAGCTGACGAGATTACGCAAGCGGTCAGATCCAAAATACAACGAACTATTCAATAATGTATTGTTATTTCACTCGCACCCCTAGTCCATAGACGTACCTCGGTGATTATCAGGTGCAGCAATATTAGTCTGTATTGTCGACTATATTCTTCAGCAAGCATATATTATATTCTTCAAATTAGCAAGCATTTTAATCAGGAGACGCAAATACTGTCGTATTTAGGCCTACTGTTCATCAAATAAAATATTGAGAATCTACGATATTTTCATTCCGAAAAATTTAATCTATATGTAATTTATTTAGCAGTTGAAAGTAATGTAAATTAGTCGAAACGTGGTACAGAAGACGAAGCTTCTGTTTAAAGAATTGTTGAATGGACAAGTCTATCGTTAACTAGACATCGTTAACTGAGCTGACGAGATTACGCAAGCGGTCAGATCCAAAATACAACGAACTATTCAATAATCCCAGAAAAGTTGGTCATAAACGACCAGCTGCAGGTCACGCACCTGTCGAGCGGAAGTTTCTGCATTTTGATGCGCTGTCTTTTGGCTTTGGCGAGCGTGAAGGGCTCGTCGGAACGCAGGTCGACGAGCCCACCAATAATGTACACGGCGTCATGGTCGAACTCCCGCACCTCCTCCCTGCAGTGTGGGGTCAAGTATACAAGCTTCTCTCTGGGGAACACTTCCAGAAAATTATCTGGGTGCAGGTCCACAAGAAAATCTTCGTTAGTTAGCGTCGGCACGCTCTTGATTGTCAACTGCGCCGACTCTTCTTCGCGTCTGAAGTTGCAGAAGTGAATATAAAAAGGATCGAGATACTGTCGGTTCATCCCAATGCATTCGGCAACCTGTGTACCGAGAACCTTTTTCTCCCTGGCAACCATCTTTTCATCGAAATCGTAGTCGAATATAATAGGCTGGCCAAATAATTTAGCTTGTACAACTCGATGAGAATCAACAGTATTTACCCTTTGATCTGACCATTTGATGAACATAGAGTTCCTCCATAAACCGTACGATATATGGGCAGATTCTGACTTGAGTTCCACCTGCAGTTGCTGATATTTTGCCTCGGATATCTTTCTCCTCTCGAGTTTTTTCTTCTTATCGTTGATAGACTTCATCTCGTTCAGGTACAGAAATCGGAGGTACTTCTTACGTCTTGAAACGCCAGGCAGACGAGCTAATTCTTCCCATTCGTTCTCGGTCAAACTGGACGGCACTTGAGTCTCCTCCTCGGCTCTGTAGAGCTCGTATTCTGCCTTGACGAGCGTCATCTTCTCCTCTTCCGTGAGGGTAGAGGCCAGGTCGCTCTGTGTCCAGGAGTTCTTGTACCGCGCATTCAGTAATGAAGGGACAGAACGCGGAGCTTGGTAACACGTTACAAGCTGCCGCACGTTCGCTGGAGATATGCTTGAGAAGGGCCTCGTGCTGGGGAAGCTGTGGAAAAATAAATATTCCAGATGCATGCAATAAAATCTTTTCATTTGACCTAATATCCTCTTTTTTTCCTTCTGGAACTCTTCATCAATGCTAATTTATATACTATCGCATCGAACATGACCTGTGACTTAGGCTGGTCTGCTATAGACGAATAAATAAATCTTTACAAGATTATATAGGGTAGGAAAGAAAAGTAAGGAATAGTGGCATAACATAAAAAAATTGCAACGTGTAACACACAAAATTTCATACGAAAAAAGAAGCAATACTTACGCGGTGCAAGGGGCTCGCGGGCAATCAAAATAGGATCGCATGAAAGTGCGCGTCAGCGCTGTTCTGAGTACAGCTTTCATCACTGGGAACGTTAGGATTGCTGGAAGAAGCAGATATTTCCAATATTTACCCAGTGAGCTAACAGATCTATGTTTTTATCAACCTGAATAAATTGGTAAGTGAAGTTTTCACGAAGCTAATTTAAGATTAGTCTAAAATCTAAATAGAGGCAAAGGTAATTACAAATTTATCCTCGAGTATAGAAACGAAAAGCCTGCCAGTCTCAGGGCACCACGGATCAACACCTTCAGGTAAAGTAGGAAGTATATAGCAATACATAGCGATGGATGTAAAACTTGGAATCTAATTGAATTCTTTTTCTGGGCTAGTAGTTTATTTACGTTAGCATGTGAATAGGTTTCAAAGTATACTTTTAGCTACGAGCAGGGTTTTATAGAAACATTTTCTTCCCACATAAATATCGTGGACCCATCATAGAAGAAATTTACTACAAGTCTCTTATGAATGCCTTTCATGCTAAATGAACAGTCCAAATAAAAATATCCAATAACATTAGTACACATCTAAGTTTTTTTCACTAACGTGACGCGCCTAAAATTAAATGTTGAACTTTGAGAAAATTACTACTTTACTTAAATCTTTTACTAATAGAAATGATATGCGGTGTCAGTAGACCAGCAGCATCACAGAATCGGGTGGAGTTTTTAATTGCTAAACCAAAAAAATATAGCGTGGTAAATCACGGTCTGAATTGTTGACGCCTTGCCTCAACTCCACGCATCTCAAGCCTGGGTGACTTATGTCAATGGGAATTGATGACAATTCCATGATAATGGGACTTGATGATAATCTCATGATAATGGGACTAATTATAAAAGGGCTTTGAATATAATCAAATGATAATTGGACTAATTGTAAATGGGACTTGATAATAACCCCATGATAATGGGACTTGAGTTAGAGGACTCGGGTTCGGGGGAGGGTTAATCCCCTAGCAGAATTAATTCTGCTCCCTGCGATATTGCGAAATGGGGAATTAATCTTCAATAAACAAGCCAGAAACTCATCGTTGCAGTGAACAATGTAGAGTAGTAGTGGTAGTAGAATGGTTTGCTAGAGCTTCAGCCATCAAGCTTTTTCGCACCGGAGGTCAAAGATTAACATCGTCAGGAAGGCAGAAGGTCTCCATTATAATTTTTTTTCCAAATTAATGATCCCCACAAAAGGCGGAAGGTCTCAAGTGTCCAGCCCGCTGAAGCTGGCTCGAAAGAAGCAGCGTTAGCATCTCAGAGAGACGAAGTGACAAGGAGAGACAAGTGACAAGGATGGACAGGTGAAAAGCAACAGAAACTTCACTTCATGACTGCTGACGCCTTCGTCAGGACCGCGGGCTGAAGGCTGTTGCAGGCACCGCAGAAATTGACTCGCTTTAGCCAAAACATTTTAGAATACTAATATAAAATAGTTAAAACAATCCCTTGACTACGAGTGTTAATAAACACGGTGTTTTGATCGCAAGTGTCCACATTGTGACTTGAAATTGTTAAAAGTTCCATACATGATCGCTAAATATCTAAAAGGAATTTTTCTGCTGTTACTATTAGGAATAATTCTTGACAGGAATGACTAATGTGGTCATGAGTTCGGCATATTCAGGTGTATAGAGTTTAATATATCGTAATGAAACATGAAGAAGTTAGTGCAGTTTGGCATTAGAACATTACTAACCATGATGCCCACGCCACATGAATAGGTACGAACATCAAAATCTATTGTATAAAGTGATTCAGAAATTGCCATCTGCGAAACGGTATATTAGGCATTTCACGAAGTGTTAGCCTTGGTCCCAACTGCACTAAATTATGGGGAAAATGAAGCAGAGTCAAAGAACGATGCAACTTTATTGAACGAAAACTCAGAAGCTAGTAAGGCTTCTGACTCAGACTCCTTCCAGGCATCTTCAACCTTTAGAGCCCCTTCACGCCTGAGAATAGTTCACAAAGGTTTTATTTACACAATTCCAAATAGATTTTAAATTAGATTGTAAATTAGAATACCAACTGACTAAATGATTTATGACGTAGAAGCATTTTATTTTAGAGAAACTTGCTCAGCGATCGAAAACTTGGTTCCATACTGAATGAGAAAACGAACATTCCTGGACGCGTACCGTGATCTCGCCGTGAGGCCATCAGCGCTAAGATCGTGGGCCTCCCTGCAGATCTCAGCACCTCCCAAAGCCAACCGCCAAGACTGGTTGATCATCCACGTGTTGCTCGTCGTTGTGGTAGCGAGCGTCTCCGTGAGTGTAGGGATAACTCAGGAGATAAGACGAAGGTGTATGCATCAGGTGAAATGGGCCCAGATAACAAGGTGGTCGGGTTACGGTGATGACTAACTAAAGATACAGAAAGATGATGAGACCAAAATAGACAGGTCTGCACCGGATGGGATCTGAAGTTCAACTGACTGTTTTTCGCCGGCCGAGCGGTTTGGCTGACTATAGTTCGACGTCTCGGATAAATTTACGGCCGGACTCGCGGCCGCTCACCCTGAATGGCCAATTTTAAAAATCCAATATCAAGGAATATCTTCCAAAGTAATGAACGTAGCTCGATGAACTAGGTACACGGATTCATTAAGACCTAACGGTGATGTTTAGCTCGTGAAAATTTTTCAAATTTCGCCTTCATTCGTGAGTTATATGACGATACGTGACGAAATTTGCAGTGATCATGATATTTCTTCTAAACTACTGTGCAGATTTGAACGAAACTTTGAATATAGAAACCTAACCTCCCAACGGTGATGTTTAGCTCGTGACAATTTTTTAGATTTGCTCACTGAATTAGGACACCGGCCGCAATTCCGGCCGTAAATTTGTCCGAGACGTTTTAGTTCGTGACTGCACGTAAATATTGGAGTTACGGTACGTGAATGATTTGGAATTCTAATTTCGTACATGAGGTGAAATTGTACGAAATTGGTGAAATTTCATCTAAATTGTACCAAAGTGTTGTACAACAACGAAATGTCAGCCTAGCCATCACGTCGACCATCAACGATGAATTCGTCGGTTGACACAATATTGGATGCTAAAAACGACTTTACAGAACGCGTGTGCAACACACCTCAGCTTCTACTCTAGACCGCTTGTCAACACGGTCAATTATTCACAAGTGAAATATTTTACGAGTTCATTCACGCATCACAAGTTTATTTGTTACTAAATTTTATTGATTTACACAATAATTGCAATTAAGTCCGAAGCGAAGTTCATCAAGACATATATTTAAGTTTTCAAAACAGCTTTATAGCATCATAGTAGGCTTGGATCAAATTATCAGTTGTAAGAAATTCTTCTAAGCAAATTAGGAAAATTGCAAGAATTAACGATGGGCCACTCATGCTTAATCATCCAAGGCGCTAATATACTAAATCAGGTAAATGAGTCTGATTTGATCCGCTAAAATTTCCGGACTTGCGTACGGATGGTTCGGAAGAGTTGTTTTCGGTGAAAGCTGTGTTGTGAGCGCGGCTGTTCGTCGCAATTTTCAACAAGACTGCAATAGCCAAGATAGCCTAAATTTTCCAGATGCGAATCGTTCAATCTTGAGTAACTTTAGTTACAGTCTTACAGATATGACAGCAAGATGGTTGATAGTGTGCCTTTCTTGCCTAAGAAAGTTTTGCACGATTCTCACATGAAAACCGTGAGCCTCCTGCCTCTTTAATGAGCTAAAGTACAATGTACTAATTTTGTTAAGTTATAATTAAATTATATCAAGTTAAAAAGTTAACACTAAGTACTCACTTCGACACTTATGGAAGAACCTTGGAATTGATAGTGATTGAGCGATTTGATGGCCTCATGTGCTTGATCTTCCGATTTCATGTGTACAAATACAAAATTCCCAAGAACAGAACATTCAGTAACTTCTCCATGTCGTTCAAAAAGCTTACGTAGAGCTATTTCAGAGCATTCATTAGGAAGTTTCCCAACGAATAATTTAGTTTTGGGGGCCTTGCAAATTATGTTATAGTTGAAAGGATGAATGTGAAGAAGTAGTCAGTAGCGGCCACTACATTTTCAGTAGCGGTAGCGGCTCTACATTTAAGGCAATGTAGCGGTAGCGGTAGTGCCCGCTACATATTTAAGTAGCGATACGAGGTTTTGCCGCAGCATGCCGCTACAGCGCTACCGCTACATTTATAGATAAAGCCTTTAGATTTCACTTTAGGAGACCGGCTACCCTCCAACAAAACTTTTTTGTTTACAGACGGATCGTTTTGAAACTCGGTACACAAATGTAAAACAGAAATCTAAGACCTTTTTGTTCGTGTAAATTAAAAAAAAATGAAAGAAAACGTGGAATTATTAGAAAATGGCAAATAAGGGGTACTCTAAATAAAAACGTTTATAACTTTTGCAAATCACATGCTACAATGTCGAGACACATATCATTTGATTTGTAGCAACAATATCTAGCGACTGTAGAGCCCTGATTTTTTATTTTCCGCATCTTTTTTTGCTATCTTCCCATTTTTTCACATTTTTACCAACCCCCTACCTCCCCCTCCCATATATAAGTCAAACCATGCACATATTAGAAAAAGGCTTGTAAAGTCGCTAGGTATCGTTTTTACAAATCAAATGGTATGTCTCTCATTGCCGTAGCTTGAAAACTGTTGGAGTTATAATTTTTTTAAGATGGCGTTTCTTGGATTTTTAACTTGTTCAGGGGAGCCAAATAACGTAAAATTCATTGAAAACAGAAGAATATGCCCAAAAAGACTTGATATTGTAGCCCAAGCTTTCCCATTGCCAATTATTTGCATTCAAGGTACCAGCACGCGTCTTTAGACCTATTTATGTTCAATTTAACGTGAATAATAGGCTATAAATGGGACTTTTTATATATAAATAGATATAAAACATTCATTTTACATAACTTTACAACTGCATTATGCAAAAACTAATGCATGAACATCCATGGTAGTAGCTTTGTTAAATGCATTTTGTTTGTATAGCTTTCAAACAAGTGCAAACACTTTGTAATTAATGAGAGTAATGATAATGATATAGATTTAATTCAAATAAATCTTTGTACATTTTGTTAAAAAATGTTCATATATATATTTTTAAAATTGTCTTGCGCAAAAATTATAGCACGCACAGACATGCGGTAAACTGCGTTAGACGCGCCTTTTCAGCAGCTACAAAATGAGTCAAGAAAACGGTAAAGCCAAAATTTCCAATTTTTAGGGTAGCCGGCCCCCTTAATAGTATTAAATATTATTTAAAAGCCAGCATGATACATACATAATATAAATTACAGAATAAGACTGTACAAAAGATTTCAGTGTAATGTTGTAAACCTCAGCCTGTTACTAGTGTCAACATGTTAGCTGTTACTTGTTAAGTTGTTACCATTTACGACCTACAGGTTTTTTTCATCTTTCAGTTTGCTTACATTTATTTTTACAGTTATTTTTATGTTTCACCTTCCCTACATGGATGTCTACTTCAATCTACCAATCTCAAAAATAATCCACA